CCCGGCCGCTCCCACCATGGGGCGACCTGGAGTGCTGGAGCTCTTCGCTGGGAGCTCTCGCTTGCTAGACGCGATCAGGGAGCTGACCGACTCGTGGGGCGAGGCCTGGGACATCCAGCGGGGCGTGGAGTTCGACGTACTGGTCACGGAGAACCTGGAGCTGCTGTTACGGAGGTTGAGGACTGGCTGGTTCTGGCGGGTGCATGTCGCCCCCCCGTGCGCGACGTTTTCGAGAGCAAGACAGCCGCCACTGAGGTCGAGCGATCATCCTTGGGGGCTGCCGGACTGCACGGAGACGGACCAGGCCAAGATCGACGAAGGGAACGCTTTGGCTTTGATAGCAGTAGAGGTGGTCAAGATCTGCCTACGCCTTGGCATTGGATTCACCCTCGAGAACCCCAGGACCAGCATGATCTGGGCGTTCGCGCCACTGACCGCTCTCTTGGATCTCGAGGGGGTTTTCCGTGTGGAGGTGGATTACTGCATGTACGGCGAGGAATGGAGAAAGCCAACTACGTTCATCACCAATGTGAAGAAGATGGCGACGCTGCAGCGGGTGTGCTTGTGCTCTTCGGGCCGCTGCAGTCGGACTGGCCGAGCTCACCGAGAACTACGAGGACGATCACCATGTGGGCTACGGTGGACTCAGGTGGCCTGTGCTTACCCGCTGGAGTTGTGCAGGGCATACGCGTCCAAGCTGCAGGAGCTCGAGCCGCACTGGGAGTCGATACCAGCGGGCGCCCGGCTTCGTCTGCAGGGGGACCGCGGGCGCGTCGTACGTGCGACTGGCCCAGCCCTGCCGTTGCTGGGCCATTGGCTGGAGAAGAAGTGGCACCTGTTGTTTCAGGGACGATGGTCTCACGCCGAGCACAACAACGTCCTGGAGCTGCGGACGGTGGTGGCGGTGCTCCGACACCTCAGTCGCACGTCTCAGAGCTGGAACCACCGCGTGCTTTTCTTCACCGACTCGTTGGTGAGCTTGGGCGTCCTGAAGAAAGGGCGCTCGTCTGCCAGGGACCTCCTGCACCTGGCGAGGATCGGTGGCATCATTCAGATGGTCTGCAGGATCCGCGGTTACTTCAGGTGGGTGCCGAGCGAGCTCAACCTGGCAGACGGCCCCTCGAGGGGTCAAGGCATAGGCGCGGCGGACGACACGGTGGCGGGCCACGTGGGCCGAGGAGTGCCGAGGGAGCTACTTCAGCGGCTGCAAGACCGGGCCCGACGAGGACCGCCTGGGGCTTCGCATTTGTGATGGCGCTGAGCGGGCTGAGGCAGTGCGGGGCGATGCCGCGGCGCGAAGCGGACGGCCCCGCGACGACCTCGGCCAAGCCACCCCCTTTGGCCAAGAGGGGCGCTCGGGCTTGGGAGCAGGCGCGGAGCGACAGGCTGCAGCACAATGTGAGGCTCGTGGTGCACGCCGTGGACGACGCCACGAATCAGATCTACGAGAAGGAGGTGAGGGCTTTCCTCCTGGACGTGAAACGGCACGGTCTCCCCTTCTCCACTTACGAGGAGAGGGACGCGGCGCTCGGCGGGTACATATCGGACATGTGCTACGTGATGCAGCTGCCCTTCAGTAGGGCGTCTGCGCTGTTCAATGGCTTCATGCACATCTTCGAGGATCACCGCAATCGGCTCCCCGTCGCTGCCAGTGCGCTGAAGTCCTGGTCCAGGATGGGCTTCCAGAAGGAGGGGGCGCCGTTGCCGTTCGAGGCCGTGGGGTGCGTGCTCTATGACCTCTTCGAGCACGGCCAGCTGTACGAGGGGGCCGCGGTGTTGCTGCAGCTGGACGGCTGGCTGAGGGAGCAGGACTGGGGCTTGCTCAGGAAGACGGACGTGGCGGTCGGGCCCGACGGCGAGGTCGGGCTCACCTTGGGCCGCAGGGAGCGGGGCGAGAAGGTGAAGACGGGAGCGAACCAGGGCGTCGTGGTCTCGTGGCAGGTGACGAAGGCCATCCTGAGGGCGATCGGCAAGGGCGCGGCGCCGCGGGACCTCCTCTTCCCGCTCTCGCAGGATAAGTACAGGAAGGCGTGGCGGCTGGCGTTCGACAGGGCGGGCCTGGCGGACTTCGGGTCTCCGCACTCGCTGAGGCACGCGGGCGCGGCGGCCTACATCGCCGCGGGCGGCTCGCTCGAGGCGGCGCGCTTGAAGGGCCGCTGGCAGACCACGTCGGCCCTTCAGCGCTACACGAAGGTGCACGTGCTGATCGAGCAGCGGAGCCGGCTCACCCCCGAGCAGCTCGAGCGGGGGCGGGCCTTCTGGCGCAGGCCGGCTCAGATGATCTCGGATGCCATTCACCGCTCCGACGCCGTGCTGGCGCCGCTCGCGCAGGACATGGTGCTGGAGCTCGAGGCAGCCAAGAACGACGAGGTCGTGCTGCCACAGCTGGAGAGCATGGCGGACGGGGGCGCGGAGCCGACCAGCCGCCCGTCTACGGCTGGCCGCAGCAGGTCGAGAAGGCAGTGATCGGGCCCAGCGTGTGGCTGGAGCTCCACCCTCTATTTAGGCTCCCGCCTGCCGCTGGAGCTATATCTTTTGATATGAATGCAGGAGCCTCGAGAGTTAGGGCGCGAGCACCCTCGTCCTCCACACGTCTTCCTTGAACAGTTAATAAGTCTGGGGAAAATATAAAGCAGGTTTTTGGTGGGTAAGAGCGACACAAATTATCTCCCGTTCCCCCCCTCCCGAATGTGTGCCGCGCTCGTGTCTAGCAGAGGCTGGAAGCGTGAAGGCACAACTGCCAGTCTGTTGAAGATGGGACTGGGGGTTTCGCAGCGTGGCTTCGTGGCCCGTCCGTGGGCCGAGGCACGGTCAGGAACCTCTCGGCCTTTTAAGTTTCGGGCCTTGCATGGGGCCCCGCCGCAGCGAACAGATACTTTCGGAGGGTGCCCCCTCCTCTCGAGCCGCTCGCTGTCCTGTGGGTGTGTCTCCTCCCGCTGCTGCGTCGGATATTATGCGGGGCCTCTTTTCACTAGAGTTGTCGCTCTACCCCCGCCTGCCCCCAGCCCTTTAAAATCAAGATTTTAAAGGTACAGGCACGCTCCGAGTTAACATAGGTTCAAGCCTGGCTCTCGAGTGTGGGTGTTGTGTAAATACGCGTTTTTAAACACACTTTTACACGCCGCCTTTAAACGTTCAGATAGCCGCCTCAACTGTACTTCAGGAGTAGGGCTAGCTCGTTCTCTCTCGTGCTCGCCCCTCCGCTCCTTGCGCTAAGTTTCGGCTCCCAACCCTGCCCCCCCTGGGCTTGCATGGGCTCTGGGGTTTCGCAGCGTGGCTTCGTGGCCCGTCCGTGGGCCGAGGCGCGGTCAGGAACCTCTCGGCCTTTTAAGTTTCGGGCCTTGCATGGGGCCCCGCCGCAGCGAACATATACTTTCGGAGGGTGCCCCCTCCTCTCGAGCCGCTCGCTGTCCTGTGGGTGTGTCTCCTCCCGCTGCTGCGTCGGATATTCTGTGGGGCCTCTTTTCACTAGAGTTGTCGCTCTACCCCCGCCTGCCCCCAGCCCTTTAAAATCAAGATTTTAAAGGTACAGGCACGCTCCGAGTTAACATAGGTTCAAGCCTGGCTCTCGAGTGTGGGTGTTGTGTAAATGCGTATTTCGGGGACTCGACCATGTGATTCGGTGCCCCGTGGCGTGATTGTGTCGTGGCACCTCCCCCTTGACTTTGCCACTAAAAGATGCGCGCCCCCCTTCCCCTCTCCTCGCTCACCCTCTTTCCGCCTGGACACGTCCAAGGCCGCCGCCGCGGTGCCGCGCCGCGGGGCCTCGAGGCGTGCGGTGGGTATGGGGCGCTGCCCGCCCTCCGGGGTGTCGGGCTGGGCCCGTAACCATCGCCGCCCGAGGGCCCGCGGTCGTGGCTCCGCGGGTCGGGGGAGGAGGATGTCTCTGGGCGGCGTGTGCGTCAGGGCCAAGGGGAAGTCGGGGGGTGCGCCGTCAGGTGGGCCCCCCCTCCACTGCGCCCCCCGCGGCTGGCTGGGCTCGCGCCTCGCGAGCGCTCCAGTGTAACTCTTAGCCCCCGCGAGCCTCCACTGTGGGGTCCAGAATCGGTCGGGCGTCGCGTCCTCCAGTTGCCGCTCGCATCCTTTGCCTTTCCCCATCATGCCTTGCAGCCGCGTCCTATGTCCCCATCCCAGCCCCGCCGCAAGTGCGAAAAGCTCTCTGTTGCATTCTGCCGCAAGAGTGCCCGATGCTCCAGCGAGCCCCGCAGTCGAGGAGGGGGCGGGGCAACGTTTCGGGCCTGGGCCCGATGGAAGCGCGGCGCCGTCGCCAGCGCTGTCAATCTCGCGGTTCGTGCGCTGCCTTGTGAGACGTGAGTCCAAGCGCCGATGTCTATGCGGCTCTCCCTCCCTTCCACGTTGGCTCCTGACAGCGAGGGCGCGCAGGTCGAACCGGCGTGCTCGCCGCGCCCAGCGACGCCTGTCCAAATCGCGAGCGGCCGCCGCCGCCGCCTCCGCCAGCGGGCGCACGGGGGCGCGCTTCCGCGCCGATCGAACCGACCCAAGCACATCCGCTCGCGCGCAAAGTGGCCGAGTCGACCTTGTCAGTGCGATGCGTTGTTTGCTTCCCTTCGCGTGCGCGGGCGTCGCCGCTGGGTTGCTCCTCGGCGGCGCGGACAATCTGACCGCGGCGCAATTGTTCCCGCGGGGCCAGAGCCCAACGGACGAGGCAAGCGCGATCGAGGAAAGTTTCCGCATCGCGTACGGTCATTTCGAGAAAAGGCGAGGCCCGCGGCGCGAGTTGTCGGTGTCGCGGCAGTGGCTGGCGCAGCTTCGACCGGAAGGTTTCGTCATGATCGGCGCGAGCGCGCTGGGCGGAGCTTGGCGGGGTCGTTCGGCATTGAGCGAGCACTGCTGGTGCCGAGAGTCATTGGCCCGCGCTTTATGACATGCGGACTGCGACCTTTGATCTCGCGCGCAAGTCTTTGCTGCGATGGCTGGTTGCCGCGATCGCTTCGCCCGCGCGCTCTTCGCATCAGGCGCGCAGCGGTCTTCTGCGCCAGCTGAAAGAAGGGGAGGCAATGTACCGAGCAGCGCACGCACTCGCGGCATACGCGGCGGGCCCTAGCAGGCCGCGAGCGCCAGCGCCGGCAGTCGCGGCAGGGGGGCGCGCCCTCCGCGCGCAACGGGGTCTCGGCTATAACCGCGGCGCGGACCGGAAGGCCCCACTGCGACAAGGGCGTCGTCGGCAGCTCAGCCCAGCGCGCCAGGAGCTGTGCGAGCCCAGACTCAAGCGCGAGGCGCGTGCCAGGCGATGAGAATTATCGTCGCGCCGATCGCGCGACGGAGGTCGCAGCTTTCCCGGCGCCGCGTTTGCGGTTGGAACGGCGCGCCGCGCCTGTCGCGCGACTTTTTTGGAGGGCGGTGCCGTGGATCAGCTCTTCGGCGTCGATGCGTCGAAGAGGTGCGGCGCTCCGCCCGGCGCGCGAAGGGGCACGGGGCCTCGCTGCGCGCGGCAGCGCTTACGACCTCGTCGAACAAGCGCAGGGCCCCGCTGCTGCAGGGCTGCTCCAGCCAATGGCGCAGCGACCGCGGGCCGCCCGCGCGCCGGGGGCTTGCGCGCGCTCCGAGGCGCTAGCGTCGCAAGGTCTTGGCTTGGGCGGCGGCCTTCTCCAGGCTTTCCAAGGGCCCTGCGTTGCTTCGCCGCGCGACCGGGCGGGGGCGCGCGCCTGGGGGGGCGCCTCGCGCAAAGTGCAATCTCTCTGGCCGGCGCCGACGCCGCGAAGGCTGGTCGGGGCCGCGCGCGGCCCGAGTGGTGCGATCGTTCGCGCGAGTGGGCGCTGCGCCGCCAGGCCGCGATCGCCGCCATCATTCACGCGGTCCGCGGCCGCCCGCGAGCCGCTGCGTCGCGGTGGCTCGTGGCCGCTCTTGCTGAATCTTAGGTGCCGCCTCTGGTCCCGCCGCCAATCTGGAACAGCGCGATCGCGCGCTGCGCCGCGCGGCGATCGCGATGGCGCGGACTGGCGAAGCGCTCGCAGATCAACCGCTGCCGTGCGGCGCCCTTCAGATTACGCGTCGCGCGGCGCGCCGTGGGCTCCGACGACGTGCGTTCGCTATTCAGCGCCGATGGTCACAGGTGCGCGGCCCTTATCCACGGGGGCTTCGTGCCCCCCCTGCCGGGCCCCATGGGCGGTTTCCGAAGTTCTTTTGGGAATCCCAGGGGGTCTTTTGATTGACCCTCGTCTGCGTCGCAATGCCTTGATGCGTTCTCCTCCAACGCCGCGAAGTCTTTGCGTGGTTTCATTTTCGCCGCTTTCCTTTCTTTGGAAAGCGTCGCGTAGCTGCGCGTTGCGATGCATTCCAAGTCTGCGATTTGACTTGCTGTGCTTTGCATTGTTTAGCATGGTCAGTCTATGCATAATTTTGCGTTGCGTGTCTTTGCTTTGCTTCTGGCTGGTCGGTAGCAGTGCAATCCATCGCGTGGCTCTGACTAGCATCGAATTGCAACTTTATGTTCGGTGGCCGTGCCTCACGCGTCGCCGTGCATCATTGCGTTGTTTTGCGTTGTTGCGCGTTGCGGCGAGTGGTTTTTAAATGCTGCGATTTGTTTTGTTGCCCACTGCCGCGCAGCGCGCTTGGCGCGCGTTGCGGCGCGTAGTTTCTCGTGCGCTGCGTCGTGCTGGGTTGCCTTGCGTTGCTAGGTTCGCAGTGCTCCTCCGAAAAACATGGGCTAGCTCTCTGCTTCGCTCGAGCGTGTTGCGCGTCGCGCGGGGCTCGAATCCCCCGCTGGGGGTGGCTTCCGCGGGGGCGGGGTACCCGCTCGCAGGCCACAATTGTTTCGGTGCCGTCCTGTACCCGGCGCGGCGGCCCGCGGGTCGCGATCGCCCGCGACGCGGCCTCTCCGGCGCGTTCCTGCCCAGATCACCATGGCCGACTTCGTGCTTGCAGACGTCACGGCGACCCGACGACGCGCGTCGCGGCGCTGGGCCAGCGCGCGCCGGCGCGCCCGGGGGCCGAAGGATTCCGCCCTGGACGGCATCATTGCTGGCTTCCCCGCCGCTTACGCGGAAAAGGTGGGGAAGACGGGCGACGCGATGTTACTCTCCGTCGAAGCGCTTCTGGTTCGGCCCCGCCCCGGGTCGCGCCGTCGGCCGAGGTATAGAGCGCGGGGCAGCGCATCTCGCCTCCGACGTCGCCGCGGGGCGCCCTAGATCGGCCGCTGTTGCTCGGGCGACGCAGGTGCTTCTCGGCGTTCATGAGCATGCAGTGTTCTTCTATATTTCCCCGATGCACAGTGCCGCAGTCGGGCGAAGAGCCCATCGCCGCGGGCGGCCGGGCACCAATGTGCCTCCACCTCTGCATCCTGCCGCTGATTACGTGCCCTGGGTTTTGGATCAGCGACGTCGCTGGCCCGTGCTCGATGGTGTCTGTGCCGCCCGTGTGTGCGCAAGCGTTTTATTGGAACACGGCCTGGCCCGTCGATGGACTTGCCGCGCGCGGCGAAGCGGCGTCGCCGTGGAAGCATCGATTGCCTCCGCAGTATTCAAGTTTCGACGAGGCGAACCCGTTCCCGAGCGATTGCCCTGTTCCCGACCATGGGCCAGGAGGCATGGACTCCGCGGAGGACCCAGCGTCGTACGACGACGCCCCGACCCCTGGGGTCCCGATCTTGGGGAGCGATGAGCCCGCCGACGAGAGCCCGCTCCGTTAGGCCACGCCGGGCCGGGTGTCTGCGATTCACCGGCCAGCGCCGGCACCGCGCAGAATTCGCGGAGCTCGCTGAGCGTTCGGGCAATGGCAGCGCCGCGCTGCGACGTCGCGCCACCTTCATGTTCCCGCGATCGGTCTGCGAGTGTCCTGCGCGACTTGTATGCGCTGCGCGGCGACGAGCTGGCAATCGCGAGTTGAAGACGCTGCTTTCGAGTGGCGTTCGTGCTCGGGAAGGCAGCGTTGCTGCGATTGGCGAGGGCTCGCTGCGAGCTGCGCGCGCGCGATCGCCTGCGGGGCGCGGGGTCGCGGTCGTTCGAATTTGCTAGGGCGGGAGCCTGGCCCCAGGGCGCCTCGGCCCAATCGAGATCGCGTCGGAAGAAAAGGCGAATGCCAACAGCAGTTCCTGCCGATGCTGAAAACATCAATGTCCGCGTCGCCGCGGTCGCCGTCGACCTCGCGCGCTCGCGCGGCTGGCAGTGCTTCCAGCTGGCACTTCCTGCGTTCCTGGTTGCCCGCAACGGGCCGCAGTGCTCCTCAAAGACGAGGTCCTCGGCCATGATCGCGACGGCCTCTGGCGGCGATGCCGCCTCGCCGCCGGCCGCCGCCGTGGCCGCGCAGGCAGCGCCGCGCGCGAAGGAAGTGGCACCTGCGCCGACGATGAACGTCACTGGTCATACTTCGTTGCAGACCTGCGCGATGGCTTCGAGGGGCCCCGTGTCCGTTGCCTTCGTCGCAGCGATGCCGTCCTGTGCCTCGGATGACTTCGGGGGCGACATATAGTCGGCGACGGCGAGCCCTGCGGTCGTTACCCGGCCGCCGCGAGATGCGTCTTCACCTGCGCGAGCACAACGCTCAGCCAGTGCGCTGCATGAGCGACCGCAGTTGGCGCAGCTGCAGCTGCAGTTGCAGCCGCGTCGGCTGCAGCATCATCAGTTCAATTGGAAGTTGAAGCAGAAGCGCAAGGGTGTCAGCAGGAGCACCCACAGCAGGTAGTTGCAATAACGTCCAGGTGGGCAATGGCGACGGCGCCGGCAGCGCGAACGTCTGCATGGGGAGGGGGCGGGGGGGGGGCTGCAGCCGAGCAGGAAAAACGTGTTCCACCGCTTCCTAGCTGACCAGGCCTCACTGCGCCACGGGGCGCGAGGGCGAGGGCGATGCGCGCGTATGTTCCATGGTTGGTTTTTTTCCATTGCCGCAGTCCAATCCTAGCGCACCTTCTCACGTGGTTCCAACAGGGGCCCCAGGGAAAGAAACTTTTGAGACCGGCGATGCCGATTTCTCACGTCTGCTCGGCTTCACTCTCAGGGTCGCCGCATGACGCTGTCACTCGCACTTCTCGAAGTCAGTATGAGATGCAACGCCGCGGTCTCAGCAGTCCCTTTCATTGGCGCCCCTGTAGGAAACGCATCGTCCTCCTGATCTCACATCGCTGCGCGCTGCGTCGAGCGCTGCATTATGCGCGGCTGCTCGCAAACGCGCGAAGTGGCGACCGTGCGCGCGCGGTGCCAAGCCGCGAAATTTCACGCGTGATCCGTGGATGTTGGATTTGTCGTCTGGTTTTGGCGCGTGGGCCCAGAATATCGCAGTGTTCTCTGTGGGCCCCAATTTAGCAAGTGCTAAGGGGCCCATTGCGCGCGGCGCAGTCTGGGCGCATCGCGACGCATCCTGGACAGGGGCACGCCGCCCAGGACGCAGCGCCCAGTGTCGAGCTTGTACCCCGTGGTCTGCAGCGATGGGGAAGCGAATCTTCTCCGCTCGCCGAGGCGGTGCATTGTTGCCGAGGCGCATGCAATTCCAGCATAGAGTGCAGTGCGACAGCGCAACTTTTTTTTTTTTTTTTTTTTTTTTTTGGGCCGCGCTCTTAGTAAATCTCTTGAGGCGCAGGGCGAAGTGCATTGACGGTGGCTCAGGGAAACCAGGATTCCGCTCCCAGTCGATTCCCGCTCCCTCGAGCTCGCCCACCCGCAAGAAGCGCGCAGACATACGCAGGCGCGCGCGCGCGTTGGACGCATGCAGCAACCTGTGGGACAAGTGCCTGATGCGACGCGCAAGCGTTTGACAAGCGAGGCAGGGCGGCCGCTGGCATTTAAGGCGAAGCTCAACGATTACGCCGCGGGTCCGACTCCGAATGGGCGAAGCGTCCTGCGCACGCAGAAATTCGCGCACGCCATCAGCCCGCGCGGCCCGGGGCGGAATTGCGGCAGGTTCTTTTGCCTTTAGGTTTGCGCTTCCCGAGGGGGGGGGGGGGGCTGCAGCCATGGCTCTCTGCGCGTTGTGCGCCGTCGCTGCGCTCGTGCAGCTCCATGGCGCCGCCGCTGCGGCGGCCGAGCAGGGCGTGGGCGGTCGCTCCGCGACGGCGCTCGCGGGCTGTCCCGAAGTGGATTGCGCGAGCGCCCGAACTGGCCTGGCCGAGGCCGTGCGCGTGCAATATGATTTCGCCGCGCGGGTCAGACCAACGCGACCGCGTTGGCGCGCGCGCGGCCTTCGCTTGCGTGGCAGGATACGAGCGGCAGCGGGCCAGACGTCCGCGCCTTCCAAGGAGCGCAGGGCACGCCCAGATTTGCTTTTCGCCCCGCGCTTCGCGTCGTTAGCCAGCGCGAGATGGCGGCTCTACGAGCAGCCGCTCGGCGCCGCGAGTTGCGGCGCCTCGCCCAGCCCAGGGGGTCGGCGCCCTGGGGCGCGGCGAGTTGCGCGGGGGGGGGGCTTTGCAGACGCGCAAAGCTTCCGCGGTCGACTTGCCCATCTCGTCGGCGAGGCTGAAGCCGACGCAGACATGGCGTCCAAGTTTGCGCGCGCGGCGAACCAGATTCTCGGCGCTTCGCAAGAGGAGCGGCCGCGCACTCAGCGTCGCAGACGCGGCGCGCCGCCGCGACGGCACTGCAATGCGCGAGGGGGTTGGCGGCATGCAAATCGCGGGCACCTCTCCGAAGTTCTTCGGCAGTCCGAGCGCGCCAGCCCAAGAAGGCGCGCCTCCGCGCAGGGGCGCGCGCGCGCTGCGTGCGGCTCCCTCGCGCGGGCCGCGCCGCGGTCGACGCGCGCGCCGCCATCTCGCGCGCGCGTCGGCTCGAGGGCTGCGACGCGCGAGCGCAGCGGCGTTCGCGTCGGCGCGAAGCGGGCAAGACGTGTCCGACATCGAGGCGGAGACCGTTCGCCTGGACGCTCTCAGAAAGGAAATATCAGAGCTCGCGCCGCGTCTAGGGGCGGGGGGGAGGAAGGCGCGCGACGCGCTGGTTCGGTTATTACATGAAGTTTCCGAGCCAAGCGCCAAGCCCATGATGAAAGCCATGGGCGTGTTAGCGTCGGCGTCGCGGTTGATGAAATCCCCGGCGAGCGATGTGGAGCTCCAGCGCCTGGCTGGCTCCATCATAACTCACTTGACGGGGATGCCTGTCTCTTCTGAAATATCGGACGATACGTCGGGGTCGCGCGGACAGGTCAACATCGTCGTCCCTCGCGCGTCTCGCGCATACGGTCCCGACAGGGCACTGCTCGCGCCATCGGCGCGCTCTGGCAACGCGCGGGCGCGCGCGCTGCCGTAGCCCGCGGAAGCTTTCATTCTTCCAGCCAGCGCTGGGCGCCGGCCCGCGCGTGAGTTCGCTCGGCGCAAGAGAGGCGGCAGGGCTCAGCTGCGAGACGACGGAACGCTCGCTGCGCCGTTCGTGGCGCGGGCGGCCCCGCGGGAACGCGCGCGCGCCCAGGCGTTCCGCTCCACCTGGGCTCGCGCCTCGCGAGCGCTCAGTATTAGCCAGACAACCATCAGTGTAACTCTTAGCCCCCGCGAGCCTCCACTGTGGGGTCCAGAATCGGTAGGGCGACGCGTCCTCCAGTTGCCGCTCGCATCCTTTGCCTTTCCCCATCGTGCCTTGCAGCCGCGTCCTATGTCCCCGCCCCAGCCCCGCCGCAAGTGCAAAAAGCTCTCTGCTGCATTCTGCCGCAAGAGTGCCCGATGCTCCAGCGAGCCCCGCAGTCGAGGAGGGGGCGGGGCAACGTTTCGGGCCTGGGCCCGATGGAAGCGCGGCGCCGTCGCCAGCGCTGTCAATCTCGCGGTTCGTGCGCTGCCTTGTGAGACGTGAGTCCAAGCGCCGATGTCTATGCGGCTCTCCCTCCCTTCCACGTTGGCTCCTGACAGCGAGGGCGCGCAGGTCGAACCGGCGTGCTCGCCGCGCCCAGCGACGCCTGTCCAAATCGCGAGCGGCCGCCGCCGCCGCCTCCGCCAGCGGGCGCACGGGGGCGCGCTTCCGCGCCGATCGAACCGACCCAAGCACATCCGCTCGCGCGCAAAGTGGCCGAGTCGACCTTGTCAGTGCGATGCGTTGTTTGCTTCCCTTCGCGTGCGCGGGCGTCGCCGCTGGGTTGCTCCTCGGCGGCGCGGACAATCTGACCGCGGCGCAATTGTTCCCGCGGGGCCAGAGCCCAACGGACGAGGCAAGCGCGATCGAGGAAAGTTTCCGCATCGCGTACGGTCATTTCGAGAAAAGGCGAGGCCCGCGGCGCGAGTTGTCGGTGTCGCGGCAGTGGCTGGCGCAGCTTCGACCGGAAGGTTTCGTCATGATCGGCGCGAGCGCGCTGGGCGGAGCTTGGCGGGGTCGTTCGGCATTGAGCGAGCACTGCTGGTGCCGAGAGTCATTGGCCCGCGCTTTATGACATGCGGACTGCGACCTTTGATCTCGCGCGCAAGTCTTTGCTGCGATGGCTGGTTGCCGCGATCGCTTCGCCCGCGCGTTCTTCGCATCAGGCGCGCAGCGGTCTTCTGCGTCAGCTGAAAGAAGGGGAGGCAATGTACCGAGCAGCGCACGCACTCGCGGCATACGCGGCGGGCCCTAGCAGGCCGCGAGCGCCAGCGCCGGCAGTCACGGCAGGGGGGCGCGCCCTCCGCGCGCAACGGGGTCTCGGCTATAACCGCGGCGCGGACCAGAAGGCCCCACTGCGACAAGGGCGTCGTCGGCAGCGCAGCCCAGCGCGCCAGGAGCTGTGCGAGCCCAGACTCAAGCGCGAGGCGCGTGCCAGGCGATGAGAATTATCGTCGCGCCGATCGCGCGACGGAGGTCGCAGCTTTCCCGGCGCCGCGTTTGCGGTTGGAACGGCGCGCCGCGCCTGTCGCGCGACTTTTTTGGAGGGCGGCGCCGTGGATCAGCTCTTCGGCGTCGATGCGTCGAAGAGGTGCGGCGCCCCGCCCGGCGCGCGAAGGGGCACGGGGCCTCGCTGCGCGCGGCAGCGCTTACGACCTCGTCGAACAAGCGCAGGGCCCCGCTGCTGCAGGGCTGCTCCAGCCAATGGCGCAGCGACCGCGAGCCGCCCGCGCGCCGGGGGCTTGCGCGCGCTCCGAGGCGCTAGCGTCGCAAGGTCTTGGCTTGGGCGGCGGCCTTCTCCAGGCTTTCCAAGGGCCCTGCGCTGCTTCGCCGCGCGACCGGGCGGGGGCACGCGCCTGGGGGGGCGCCTCGCGCATGGTGCAATCTCTCTGGCCGGCGCCGACGCCGCGAAGGCTGGTCGGGGCCGCGCGCGGCCCGAGTGGTGCGATCGTTCGCGCGAGTGGGCGCTGCGCCGCCAGACCGCGATCGCCGCCATCATTCACGCGGTCCGCGGCCGCCCGCGAGCCGCTGCGTCGCGGTGGCTCGTGCGTTGACTTTATTTAGGCTCGGGGAGGCTCGGGTCAGGGAACCATAATCATGACAGAAGGGGACGCCCGCGCGCGCTCGCAGGGACTGCGCGCACCAGAGCGCGCAATTGGATCGTGCGAGCAAAGCGCGTTGGCGACAGCGGTTGCTGTTGGTTTGTTTCTTGCTTGTGTGCTGCTGATGGCCGGGCAGCGCGGAGAGCTCTTCATCGAAGAGTTCTTAGATTGGAGGGTCGATTCCTCCGAGCGCGAGTCCCTTTCTGCGCTCGTGCAGAGAGAGGGACTGGAGTCGGCTGGCGATTTAGCGCATTTGTTTTGCTCGACGGACGAGGCGGAGCAGTGTGGAGTGCCCACGGCCTGGGCCGTGGCTCGGGACGTGGCGCGGGTGACGCCGTGGCTGGTGCCCGCGCATGGCATTTGCGCGGAGGGGCGATTTGGCGGCGCGGCGGCGGCCGCCGCGCCCGCCGTGAGCGCGGGGGCCGCGGCGGGGAAAGGGCGTGGGCCTACCGCCGCGCGCCGCGGTCGGCCGAGACGCTGTGCCGCAGTGGCGACGGAGGCGGCAGAGCGTGAGGGGCGCGTTCAGCTGGCGGTCAGCGCAGTTCGAGTGTCGCTTGAATGGCGCCCGGAAAGCGGCCTCGGGCAGGGGTTGCAGGAGGCGCAGGCCGAGATGCTCGCCGACGTCTCGTCCGCGGCAGTGTTTAGGCTGAGTAATTTCGAATCCGGGACGCTGCGCACGGCCTTGCGCGTGTGGGGGCAGTGGGCCGAGTGGGCGGGCCGGCAAGGGCAGCCGGCGACGAGTCTGGCGCGGCAACCCATGGCAGTCGCCGAGTTCGTGCATAAGCTCTCGATCGCACGGACGTCCGGCGTCAGGATCTGGAACGCCTTGAAGTGGATGTGCGTACATTTGAAAGCGCCTTTCTGCCTGGACGATGCGTTTCGCCCTGTGCCACGTGATCCAGGCAGTGGAACCGTAGCACCGCCGGCCCAGGCCACTGTCGTCGAACCCGAGATGATTTACCATGTGATCGATTTCCTGGATGGCGCGAGAACGCCTGGGCAAGTCATGCTCGCGGCTGGGATGCTGGCGGTGGTATTCGCGTGGGTGAGGTACACGCACCTGCTGCGCTCTAGGCCTTTAGAGAAGTCTGTTTATTTTTGCTGGTTCCGCGCATCGAGGGGGAAGCAGGGAAAGCGACAGGGGCGACCTTCGTTCGATTGGTGCTTGCCGAGGCGGCTAGGTGGCGCGCGGTCCGCCGCTGACGCCTTGTGGGATGGTTGGCACAAGTTGGCGGCGCGGGAAGATGCTGTGGTCGCTTGCCGGGCGCGGTGGCGCGCGGAGCTGACGCCTTCCACAAGTTGGCGGCGCGGGAAGATCGAGCAGGAAGGGCTGTGCCGACGGGGCTCGTCTTCGATCCAGTTTCCGGCGCGCCGGTGAAGTTGGGTGCCTTTAACCTATCGCTGAAGGAAGTATTCCGAGGCTCGCTAGCGGACGATTCCCAGTTAGATCTTGTGACTTCGTACAGTTTGCGCCGGGCTGGGCCTACATGGGCGAGCGCGATACAATTGGACTGGGAAGCCCGAGACATCTCGGGCGGTTGGACGGAGGGGGGAGACAACTCCCGTCGGAACCAGATGCCGATCGTGTATAACGCGCGTCGGCGGCAAGCCGAGATGTGCACGCGCCTGCACATGGCCGGAGTGTTGTCGTGCCTGCGGACCGATCTGGAGGCCCCAGTGCAGTGGGAGCAAGTGCGATGCTGGGCGAGTTCTGCGCCAGGAAAAGTAATGATGGCCGACCTAGAGAAAGAGGCGCAGCAGCGGGTGGCGGTGTCGACCGTTCGTGAGAAGGCCGCGTTCTTGCCCCCGTCGGTCGTCGAGGAGTTGAGGCGGCAGAAGTTTCTCCGGATAATCGTGGCCCCGCGTGGACAGCGGGTGGGGCGCGGTAAAGCGCCGGGCGCGCCTCCACCCATTTGTCGGGGTCCTGCCGACGGGGGCGCCGCGGGTAAGAGCGGTGAGGGGGGGGCGGGCGCCGAAGCGCCGGGCGCGCGTGCGCGCGTTGCGCAAACCCTCGCGTCGGGGGCACCGCGTGCAAAGCGGGGGGGGCGCGGTAAAGCGCCGGGCGGTTTGCGTGGGAACGCGTTGCCTGCGCCTGCGAGTCCACGCAGAGCGCCGAAAGTTGCCGGCAAAAACAAGCGACCAGCAGAGGCGGGAGCGCGCGCCAGTCCGGCGTCGGTTGCCATTGCGGGCCGCGCAGGGCGAACCGCGGGTCGATCGCGCGGCCCAGCGGTATTGTGCCCGGGCGTGGGCGGCATTGGAGGCTGTCTCCATCCCCAGGTCCAGGGGAGATGAAGTGTCGGTGCGGCCGGGAGACGCAACCCGTGCAGGCCCGGCCGCGTTCCAAGCGCGGGGAGTTGACTGCGCCGGTCGCGCGGTGACCGCGCTTCCAGGTGACGAGGCAGCGCAGGGCGCGGAGTTGGGTGAATGTGACGTAAAGGGCTCAGATGGCGCGCCAGCGCACTGCGCGCCGCCAGTCAGGCAGGTTGCGGAGGGATCATCCGCGC